TCTTTTCTTTTTTAACTGTCTAAGTCTTTTCATTTTGTTTGTAGTGAAACTCAAAGATTTATTATAACACCAACAAACTGATGCTTTTTTCTCGAGTACTCTCGACAATATCATATGAATATTGACTATTTGAGTTTTTACGTCGTCACCAATAAGAATAATAACACCTCGATGACGTTTGAGTTTCCCCAGCCCTAAAAGCTGTATTAGACTATCGTCTATTTTTTTTTTGAAACTCATAATAACCACAAAACCATACTATTCTTTTCAATTTGGAAAAAACAAGATAGTTTTGGATATTTCAAAAAAATTTTGAAAGCAAAAATAATTTAAAGTTATCAATATAATAAAATAAGCTGCGATATATACATCAAATTCAAACGGTCAAGCCAAGCTTAATTTTCACTTTCTTCCGCAACGTAATGTAATTTTTTTGCTTCTATAATGAACAACAGCCAATATTCCTGCAAAGCTGTTCCGTCAACAGCGCATGTTTTTTTTCCTGGAATTATTAAATTGGTTAAAGATAGGTCAAACAACTTCTTAGCATCCTCATCTGGATAGATCAGATTACTTGGATCTGGTGTTGTTTTGCCATTTCTAAATGTCGCTCTTTTGTTTCGATGCTTATTATCAGTTATATCAAATAACTCACTGTAAGCTTTGAAAACACATAAGTGGTGAGTAAATATATGGTTTTTTTGTTCTACGCGTTCCAAAGCGCTAAGATCTTGCAATTCTGCTGTCCATTTTAAATCTTTTATAAGTTCAGAATAAAGCTTGGTGCAAACTTCAGTACAAAGCCCAGGTTTGACTCTTGGCGTCAACAAAATCCCAACAACACCATTTGAAATGTACTTCTTCATTATTTCCACTTTTTGATGTCCTGTTTCAGTTTTTTCGTCAGAACCCATTGCTGCAAAACTAAGACCTCTAAATAAATCATTGACAATCCACGAATGATGTTTAATGCTAACTATTGTGAAAATGCTCGCTACGATTTGATCTTCATCTTTGTCACCGTTATCAATTAAAACGAGAATTCCTATATTTTTTTGATCCAATACTACTTGTGTTATTTTGTCCGTGTCCAATCCCAAAAATACACATATGCCAGATAATAAATCATAAACACGGTCGTACCATTCTATATCTGGTTCTTGAAACAGATACGTAACAGCGACTTCTTCCGAAGTTTTTTTAATCTAAAAAATTTTAATAAAACACACATACCGTTGACATAGTATTTTGAAATTGTGGGAAAAGTTACATTTAGCTAAATATTTTGTAAAGTTAAAAAATGTAATTAAAATTTTTACCCAATATATATTTTAATGTGTCAAATACGTTAACAAGTCCATTATAAAGCAACATTTTCGTTATATATAGTCACATAGGCATGCATTCAATAATTATTAAATAAAAGCAATATCCATGTTTAATAGACTCGATCCAGTCGACGATGGGTAAGTTAAAATTATCAAAGTGAGAGTTTTCCGCAAAGGTTGTTTAAAGACGTTTTTAACCTATTAATATCGTTTCTAACCTGTTAATATCGTTTCTTTGATTTTTGTGGAAAGCTACACGGGTACACACAATAAATTTTTTAGCGAAGTCTATAGAGCTTTAATAATTCAGCAGTCAAGTCTTAAAAGTCCAGTCAATTTATTTCAACTACGGAGAGTTTCTGAATATACAACCATTGCATTAGAAACAAACGTGAAAAAACGGTTTCAGCGAGCAGTTAACAAGTTTAAAGCTAGTGTAGATTTCAAGAATAAAGCTTCTGTATTTGAAACCCACACTCTTTTGAGGAATCCGAAATTATGGCTACGGAATGATGTTGAAACTGCCACTGAAGAAGACTGGTTATTTTTGGAAAACATGGAGAAAAAGCAACATGAAAGTACCAATCCAGCAAATTTGAACAACAAATTTTACTACAACCAGGCTCAAAATGCTAAGCTCTGCGACAATAAAAATATGAATGAGAAAATAAAACTGAAAGTGTGTGCGTCGTGGGCTTCTCCGTTGCTTAATAATATGAAAGAAATAACTACTAATTATTTCCCTAATAACGCTAAGCAGCACTGATTGACAGAATTGAAGTAACTCATTAGCTAATTAACATTTATCACATATAATTATCTAAAGTTCTCACAGAAATTTTAACCATTAAAACTATTTATCGCTGATAGCTAGTCTTGTTAAAGCCGTTACAACCGTTTATTAATCATGAACAAGAAAGACTTGCACGAATTTATAAATAGCTATACCAATAAACACCGCTCCTAGTGTCCCATCAATAATTCTTTTATTTATATACATAATCGCAATTCGAAACAACCCTATTGATAACATTGTATCTACTAGATAACCACAAATACTGCCTAAAATTACAGCGAGGTTATTTGTGTTATTTGCTAGTGACATCGTGGAAATCTGGGATTTGTCTCCAATTTCCAACGCGCAAACGGTCCAAAAGCAAATACCAATAGCTCTAGCACGTAAAAACCACTTTGACTTGTTTGTATTAGGCTGCTTTACAAGATTTGACGATGCTAACTTTTCTAAATCTGCTTCTGGTACTTTTGCAGAGTCATTAGAAAAGCCGGTGTTGATATTTAAATCTTCATTCTCAGACGTAAGACTGGAACTATTCTGTTTACTGTTTTTGCATTCCCAGAGCATAACAATACCAAAAATTAAGAAAATTCCACCGAATATTCCTTCAATGACTTTTCTGTTTATATATTTGAAAATCAAATTGCCACAAAAAACTGCAACCGCAGTCATTAATGAAAACGCCATCATTGCTCCAACAAAAGTGATTCCGTAACCATATCGTCTAGATAAAGCTGCAATAACAAAAAATGTCTAAAATTCACCACTCATCTGCAACTTACTTTATCTAATAATTCGGCTAGTGAAACCAAGAGAAAACTGTTAAAAAAAGTTATAGCAAACGACTTAGAACCCATGTCCTAATATCAAACGTCAAGCGACTAGTAAACCTAAATAAAATATAGTTTGTTTTTTTCATACACACAAGCAAAGTTAACTGCTTAAAACAAAGTGAATTAATACATTTTGGCCATCTTTGCAAGGAGAATATTAACCAAAAATGGACTTAAAAACAAATCTATTTTTTAGATTATTTAGAAATTCTTAAAAATAAAAATGCGTGTCAAATACCGTGAATTTTAGCTCAATAAGTACATGGTAAAAGTTTGAAGAAGAGTAACTGATTTAAGAGATTTATTTGAGAAAATTATGCGTAAAACCACAGGTTTAGACAATATACTTGAATCACTGAATGAATTTCTTATTGACAAGGTATTATACTTAGGAACTAACAGAAACGCCTACTCAACACACAACAAAAATATCAAAAAGTTACCAAAACCTGAGAATATCAACAAGAATTTTGCACAACATCTGAATCAATTAGCAAAATTACAAGCGCGTGAGAATGAGGAATTTTACGAAAAAGAGTTTTATTCATACATAATTTTACTTCAGAATTTTTACAAAAAGTTTTTTACTATAGATTCATATGGCACGAGTTTAGCAAAACCGTGCAATTTCAACGTTCACTTGGAAAAACTGAAAACTTTACTCGGTGATAAACTTGATATTAAGAAAATGGAATTAGTAGAACCGGTTACTTTATCTTTTTACAAAGCTATTGTGACGATCGTTTACATAGCATTAATAAATTATTTAGAAGAATGTCAATTAGACGGATTTCTCGAACTGATAAAAAACATCTTCGAGACGTACATGCCAAATCCTTACCATAATTCAGAACACGCCAGTTTGGTAGCGTTGCATACTCTGCAAATTATGCAGTTAATTAACTTTGATAAGTTTTTAAAAAAAAATGATGTTTTGTTGATTTCCATAGCGGCTTTTGGTCATGACGTATTTCACCCAGGCTTGAGCAACAACTATTACTTGAAAATCAAGCACCCTATTTCTTATATATACAATACGACTTCTTTACTCGAAAATTATCACTGTTTAGGCTTGATAAATCTGATTAAAACGTCGAAATTCAATATGTTGAATGACAAAGGCAATTTGGAATATATTACTAAACTAATCTTAGCTACAGATATATCACAGAATCACCGGTTTTTGCTTGAAATTGAAAACCGTATAGCACAATGGAAAACAGATTTAGACATTAAAATCGATCGAATCTTAATAACTCAGCTAATTATCAAGGTTGCTGATCTTAGTTACCTCAGCACATCTAACCCTTATCAATTTTTAATAATTTTAAGTAGGTTGTACGACGAAATGATTTTTGAAAATTACATCATCGATGGCGGCAGCGTTTCTTATACTGAATTAGTCCAAAATTTCGATAATACAACGATTAAACTTTCAATTAACTTTATCACACAAAATTATCTCCCGCTCATTGAGACTTTATGTAAAATTGAAACCTTTCTTACTAGAAACTGTAAATCTCCTCGAAAGAATATACATCTTTTTGACACTGATACTTTGTTTAGCTATTTCATAGGAATAGTTGAGGGATGTCCGCAAAAAATAGAAGAAAGCTTTAATATGTACAGTTTTTGTAAATCAATTAATTTTGACAATATATTGGGTGAGAATTGCAACCAAAATCGCAAATTCAACAAATTAAAGATTTTATTTGATAATTATGAACAGAAGATCGACCGACTCGACCCAGAAATACTAGACAGGTTTAGGCCTTACCGTTATACACAAACGTACCACGCCTTGTTAATCCCGTCTATTCGAAACAAATCTTTGTTGAGCACTTTTTTGTAAATCTCTCAATGCGGCTCGATTTTTTATAAGCTTATGAACTTTATATAAATTTGGTTTAATGCAGTATAAATTTAAGCGTTAAAGTAAATATTTATATATGCTTCAACCTATAAAATTTTGTTTTAGTATTTATGCAATAACACGACGAATAAAGTATGGAGAAATGAGCTATAAATGGTAAAAAGCAAAAATCAGAATAAACAGAACTGCTTTTTTGGGTTACCGAAAATTTGTTTGGGTTCTACGTGCAAGACGTTAAAACAAACAGTTTTAGCGAGAGGTCGGCACTCACCGACAGTTACGATGTCTCCAACCTTAAGCTCGAAAGCTGGTGAACAGTGTACGGCGAGGTTCTTGTGTCTCTTTTCGAATCTCTTATATTTAGGAATGTAGTGGAGGTAGTGTCGACGAATGATAATGGTCTTCTTCATTTTCATGCTTACTACCATACCCTTGAGAATTCGGCCACGAATGCTTACGTCACCGGTGAATGGACATTTATTGTCGATGTAGCGTCCTTCGATGGCGGCGAATGGAGTTTTGAAACCAAAACCGACTTGTTTTACCCATCTTACTTTTCCATGGATGTTTTTAGAATTTATCAGAGCCTTTCTAGAAAGAGTGGTAACGCCTTTTTGCTTTTGATAAGCTCGCTCAACCTAAACGAATTTTAATGCATTTTTTGACTTACTTGATGTTCTTGTGCTTCAATATGAACCATTCTCTAAATTTTTGGGTATAGAAGATATAATAAATTATTCCGTGAGACAAAAACAATTCAAAAAGTATATTAATAGAATTAAGCATTCATACAATATATATACAAACAACCCATTATAAGATGATGTAAAGCTATGTTTAAATTTTTATATACTATTTATTGAGTATTATTCAATTTTATATCGAAAACTGCTTTTTAGACTATTGACTGGGCGGCGGCAGAAATTTTTGGGTAAAGTTCGGCGCATTCCTTAGCGACTGGTCCAGTGATGGCGGACCCCTTCATTTCACCTTTGTTGTTTACAATAACTCCAGCGTTATCTTCGAATTGAACGAATATACCTTCGGCGCGTTTCCAGAGACGGCGTTGACGAGTAACCACGGCTTGGTGTACCTTCTTCTTGAGTTCTGGCTTACCTTTTTTAACAGTGCATAATACCATGTCTCCTACTGAGGCAGCTGGTAATTTATTAAGAGAAGCTCCAGTTCCGTGGACTGCAATGATAAATAGGTTCTTTGCTCCACTGTTATCACAACAGTTAATTAAGGCGCCCACATTGAGACCATATGAGACTCTGCACTTTTGTCCAGTTTTACCACCTCGTCCTCGTTTCATCTTTTACACAAAGCAATATGGCCTAGCTTCTAAACGAAAATATTTTAAATGTTTTGTCTAATTATTCCATATTATCTACATAAAAATGCACGGTATAAACTAAAAAAATTTACGCTTTTAAACTAATATAATTGGGGTTTCTACAAATATGATAAATTTAACTTTATTGGAAGATGCGAAATTTGTTTTTCATGATAATTAAAATTTTTTTATAGCTCTAAAATTTTAGTTTTTATAATTTTTTATTATTTCTAACATCTTATTGATCATCAATATTAAATATAAATAGAGCTCTACACATTAAAGCATACCAAAAAATTAAACAATGATATCAGAATCTGCTGTCAAAAAGGTTGCTATGGTGCGAAAGCAACCATCCAAAACGATGAGTGCTCATGTTGAAAGAAAAAAAAAAAGAAAGAGAGGAGAAACTTTTGGTATTTACATTTACAAAGTCCTTAGACAGGTCCAACCTGAAATTGGGCTTAGCAAAAAGTCGATGGCTATCATGAACAGTTTAATTAACGATATTTTCGACCGTATTGCCATGGAAGCCATTAGACTCGCCCAATACAATAAAAAGCGTACACTCAGCGCAGCTGAAATTCAAACCAGTGTTCGTTTACAGTTCCCTGGTGAGTTAGGAAACCACGCTATGAACGAAGGTCGAAAAGCCGTTGAAAAATACAAAGAAGTTATTTGTTAAATATCAAGCTGAAAAATTCGCTTATATACAGTTACTTCCTATCTATATTTATATTCACAAAATTTAGTGATAGTCAGCTTTAATTATCAGTGGTTTAATAGCATTCCGCTATTACATAATAAAGGTTACATTTCAAACACATCTTCATCTATTTCTTGGTAAGCCGCTTTAACTGTTGGCTGCTGACCAACCGATGGAGGCTGAATAACATTTGAAGACGGCTTAACTTGTTTGACTAACTGGTAAATATACTGCTTCCTGTTTAAAAAACCGTGGCTCTTATACCAATGGACTAAAGAACGAAAATCTCCAAAATTCTGGCCAAGGATGCTATATCCGTGCGGAAACGTTAATATTATATCCTTTGATATAATTATCTTTTTGGTTTTCTGGTCTAATCCTGCGACGCAAATTAAAAACCTTTCCATCAAAGAGTTCGGAGAATTAAAGAAATAATCAAATATTATATTCCAAGTGTTAATTTTATCCGCTTCGTTTCTTGAATTAATCATTTTTGTATAATCTTCTTAATTTTTATCGTTTATAAACTTTGGATGACGCACAACCTGATCACAATATTGTAAAAATGGATATGCAAGAGTCGACATTAATTCAGGAATAGAGTTGCACGTTGTGCTTCCAATAGACAACTTATTTCCGAGTTCGTTGTCGTATTTAGTTACGTCCTCATTTATCTTTAAAGCTTTGTATCTAAAAGGTTTAGGATATATTAAAAGATACATTCCAAGTACACCAGCTTGCTCCGCTACAGCAATGTACGAGCGGGAAGAAACACTTTCCAGCGGTTTCTGCGCGTGAAATTCTTGAAGTATAATTTTTGGCGTCTTCGCCGTTATATACTTAGAAATAATAACTCTTTTTTTAACTCGTTTTTCTTTTTGGGAATTTGCATTTCCACTAATGTCAGGGAACAAAAACGCATTTATCTCTTCCTCAACAGAAGGCAGCCATTTGTCAAAATTGAAAGTGCTACGGATAGTGTAAAAACTAAATAATTCTTTGAGATATCTTGGATCAGCAGAAACAATGAGCTTACAAGCGTTATAAGCAAAATCAAGTAAAAAAGGTGTAACTACATCTGTCTCCTGTTGAGATGAAAAACCGCTTGGCGTATCTCCTTTATAATCAACTTTTAATTCCGTATTGAGTATAGTAAATAAATTTCGATTTAGCTGCACAAAAAACTGACTACCTGGAAATAGCGTGTAACTATTTCCGACAAGTGACAAATACGCCCGCCCCATGGAATAACCAGGGGCATAATAATTCTGCGAATTATAGAAATATATCAATTCGTTTTTTAACCGTTGAAGTAATGGCAAAGCTGCGTAAGCACCAGATTCCATCATTAAGTAAGCATATTGTTCGAGATCTAGTTCATCCAGATTATTAGCCAACTCAACTACTGCTTCTGCAATTTTTGTTGGCGTCGAAATTTTGTCAGCAAACTCACAAACTTCAAGCATCTCGTAAACTTTGGAATATTCGTTGACAGGCTCGATACATAAGCAATCTAAATAATTATTAACAGTGTAGAATTTATCGAAAAGGCAAAATCTAATAAATGAAGATGTTAAATTATAAACATTTTCAGAAAAAATAGTGCCAAGAAGTTCTTTTCTTGAGCATATCGGTTCTTTTAAAATACTAAATAAGTAATTCGCAGATTCTTCGTTGAAACCACAGACAAATTTTAAGGCAGGCCGGTAATGAGCAAAATTAACACCTCTATTTAAATAATACCCATTTAAGCTAATATATCTGGTTAATTTTTCATCTAACAATTTGGAACGCCGACTTTCGGATATATAATCTTGAAATATATGTAATTGGTGTTTAATTATTTGATTTCTTAAACAAGCCAATTCAACACCTGGATCAATAACGTATCTAATCGCGCTTAAACACGACAAAACATAAAGCGGGTAGTCAGAACTAGAGTTTAAAAATAATGTTTCTTTAGTAGCACATTCAAATAGTCTACTGTCTAACAAAATATTTTGCCAGTTAATAACAGCCGAATTTACCGTTCTTGAATATTGCTTAATTGCTTCATACAGTAAAATAGAAGTGTTTGACGTTAACAAAACAATAACTATGTTAGCTCTGTATTTATGTCCAGTCAATATTTTCAACAGTTCGTTCCAAGTTCGACTTTCGCTTCTCGAACTATGGGAAGAGTTTTTTTCTAAATCAGCAACGACATCATCTACGGTAAAATACGATGTTAGCTGACCGAATTCTCTCGAGTAAACGATTTCAACTGACTTTCTGTTACCGGCAATTTTTAAACATGTCACACAAGGTGTGGACTTGGTCGGAATATCTAGCAAAAGTCTGTTATCTAATTCCGTTTCTTTATTTGTGTCAGTTTCAGTTGCTAATTTAGCAAACTGTTCAATAACATTATCTAGCCATTTGTTACTTATTTGACTGAAATCAGGAAATCGAAACATTGTAAGAGCTGGATTTAAACGCGTAGGCATGGACGAAATAAATAACCTAGTTGATGGCGACACAGAAAACAATATATTTAACTGCTTGTTATAAGCTACTTCTAATGAACTCTGCGCACAAGCTGTGTAGTATGACAAAACGTCTTGCTTAATTCGAGAAAGAAGAAAATCGGTAACGGCTGTTGAAACGATTTTTCTTATGAAATGGCTCCATAGTGTATCAGATTCGTTTGTACATATATTAAATTGAAACATGAGCAAATCAATCATAACATTTATCAACTCTTTGTCTATGGAGTCACTAGAAAGAATTGATTCTAAGTCGTTAATATACTTTGCTTGATTTTGATGCTTATTCGATTTCAATAAAGTCAAATTCTTAGATACTTGATTCTTTTCAAAAGTTGTAAACGGATGTATTACAACCTCTATGTTTTTTTGTTCTGCTTGATCATTGAGATACAACAAAAATGATCGATTGAAATTTAGATATTCCTCAATGATTACTTCCATGGTATTGATGCAATATTTTGTATCGGCAATTTCCATATAATGGCCAAAAATTTTGTGTAAATCACGTATTGACGCTCTATCTGTAAATGTTTTTAAGGGCATTCTGTAAAATTTAGACTTTAGCCAGTCAATGGAATTCACTCGTGAGCTAGGATACGCTTTATCGTAAGAAGGAAACGTACTGATAAAAGAGTTGTCAATTAGAAATAGGAAAATGAAAGTTTTTATTACAGGATTCAAGGCCATCTTTTCAGCTTCGTATCTTACAATGATATTATAAATATTCGGTACTTTATTGTCGTTGCGTAACAAAGAAGAAAAATAATTTTGCAGTTGAGCTGGCGCTTCTTCTTCAGTACTGTATATGTCCAGCTTTTCAGGTATATTATTTGCAAAGTTGTCAAAGTTATATTCACTCATTAAATTTAATAACTGATCTCTAGTCGTAATTTTTTCTTTGACGATCAAGTTTATAAAATACTGAATCTTAACGTTATAGTTATGGTTTAGAGCGAGATATTTATTTGAAAACTCAAAATACTCAGAAACATTAAGTCTTTTTGCGACACTATGTAGTTTGTGATAGTAAATTTCTTTTTTCGTACACGTAGACTGTTTCTTGTCATTTTGATCGCAAGATTGCAAAGATTCAAACGTTGAGAAATATTTGCTTATAATCAAAAGCTGGTTATTGTTAAGCGTATCACTGATTAACGAACTGAGTTCATTAGTGTCTGGATGGTGCTCAACTAATGTCCTAGTTATATTTTGAATTGTCGTACATCTCTGGAAGTATTCGTAATGCCAGTCATTAAATAAGTATAAAACATCCGAAGTTAGCGGAGGAAATAAATAATTTCCTTTATGGACGATTATGTAAGGTATTTCTAAATCGTCAACTAGTAAAAAATTCAAGAATCGAGTTGTAGCTAACATTATGTCTTGATATATTGTCCTATTCTTGGGGAAAAATATAAATTCTTCTCCGTCAAACTCTTTTTTATGAGGGATACCAGAATTTTTATGAACTTTATCATATCTTTCCCTTTGTTTAGCTTCGTCGAATAGCTGGTGCATGGGGAATTCAGTAAAATAGCTTAGGTTGGCAGTTTCTGAAACAAATTCTTTATAACTATAGGAGCCTTCATGGATGAAAGACTTTAATTTGTTTACTAGGTACGCAGTAAGTTTTTCAATATCATCTTCTGAAATTTTAATCTTCGGTTCTTTAAGTTTAATCTCGTTTTTCATATAGATCGAGTGTTTCGGCTCATCAGATGACAAATTCACTTTATCGATTACTAATAAATTCGAAGTCTCGTTGCCTACCCCTTCATTATTAAGGCATCGCTTCAGCGCTTCTAAATTCGAACCAAAATATTTTTCACATAATGATTTAATCGATAATTCTTCATTATCATCATCGAATGTGATTCCATCAGTGTAATCTTTTTGCTCCGTTGATTCGTTTTTTTCAAACAAGAACTTTTGGTCTTCATCTGAATTAAATCCTAGCGAGTCAGACACATATTGTTCGATGTCAACATCATCATTCTCAATTTCAACATCATCTATAGCATAAAGCTTATTTATATCGAATGGATTTTGTGAATAGTCCATTAACTAAAGAACGATAACTGCAGAAAATTCTATCTAAATATATAAAATTGTAAAATTTCTAACTCTTCGGGAATAACGATTAACTTAACAAAAGTATAATTATATGCAATTACAGCATTAGAATTTTTTTTTAACAAATATTGAAAATTGCAAAATCTGTGAATATCATGTCTATTGCTAAAAAAGAAAAAGCAGCTTCAACAATTTTGTTAGGTAGGCCGAAAGGGACTCTAAAAATGGGTCTAGTCGGGTTGCCTAACGTTGGAAAATCAACAACGTTTAATTTCTTATCAAAGCTTTCAGTACCAGCAGAGAACTATCCATTTTGTACTCTCGAACCGAATCTTGCTCGAATAAGTGTTCCGGACGAATATTTTGACAATCTCTGTAGGATCTATCAGCCTAAAAGTCAAGTCAGCGCAACTTTATCTATTATGGATATCGCCGGATTAGTAAAAGGAGCGCATAAAGGTGAAGGACTTGGTAATTCTTTTTTATCCCACATTCAGCAAGTAGACGGTATTTTTCACGTAGTTCGAGCTTTTGATGAAGACAATATTGTTCATTCAGAAGGTGCTGTAAATCCAGTTAACGATCTCCAAATTATATATGATGAGTTACGTTTGAAAGATCTTGATAGATGTCAGAAGCTTTACGACGATATGAAAAAGCTTGTCGATCGTGGCCAAAATAAAAATCTTGCGGGTCCATTTGAAATGTTACAGACTTTTCTCAACCACTTGAAAAACGGAAATTGGATTTCCAACAGGATGAACTGGTCCCTAAAAGAAGTCGAAGCTTTAAATGATTATTGTTTTTTGACAGCAAAACCAGTCATCTACTTAGTCAATATGAATATTAAAGATTATCTTCGAAAAAAGAACAAGTATTTGGTAAAGATACATGAATGGGTAGAAAAAAATATGAGAGGACCAATTATTCCATACAGTGCTGACTATGAAAAAACATTGATTGACGATCCTGCCAGTTTGCAGCAACATGTTTCTGCAGTTCAAAAGATTATTTTAACTGGTTACTCAACTCTTCAGTTGATTCATTTTTACACTACTGGTAAGGACGAAGTAAAGTGCTGGACTATCAGGGAAGGTACAAAAGCACCACAAGCTGCTGGAGTTATTCATACAGATATGGAAAAAGGATTTATTTGCGCAGAAGTAACAAGATACGATGATTTAATTGAACTTGGCTCAGAACAAGCAGTCAAAAATGCTGGAAAAGTTGCAACCAAAGGTCGCGACTATATTGTGCAAAACCGAGATATTATGTTTTTTAAATTTAATCCGGCTAAAAATAAAAAATAGATATAAAAATTTTTTTTGCTTTATAACTTAACAAAATCAAGTTATTGTTTATGAATTTAAATTAATGAACAGCATAAACAAACTCGTAGACGACGGAAAATTGCAGCAGGGCACGTCTATGTCGGTCATCATTGAAAATGAAAATTATACATTAGGAAATTTTCTAAGATACATGCTAAATAGGAAAAACTACGTAGAATTAGCCGGATGTACTATCCCACACCCGAGTGTGTCAGAACTCAATTTTAGACTCCAAGTTTGTGATGGTTACGTAGCTTCAGAAGTGTTCAGCGAAGCTATTGATGAAAGTATCACTTATATATCAGCTCTTATAGACAAGTTCAACAGTGAACTTGGACTCAACGTGTCAAAATATTGATCGAGACCGTTATTTTAAATTAATCTTAATATAAATTATATATTAAATAGAATAGATTATTGAATCTGATTAGCAATTTAATAAATTTATAATTTTATTACTAATGTTTTTTGTTAACTATCTATAGTTTATAGTTTTATTAGTTAGACTCTTTCCGTTTTTGCTAAAATGCTCAAAAATGTAGCATTAATAGTATTTATTATTGTCGCTCTTTATCATCAAAAACCTTGGGAAGGCAAACATAACTTTTTTACTCGAATTTTACGTTGTTTTACAAATTCAAACAGTGATCATGACATTTTATTAAAGATTGGGCCATTTAAACTTGATAAGTTTGTTTATTCATGTTTAATTTCGCTACCTTATATTATTGATCGACAAATAATTTTTAATAGACTAAAGATAAATCTTCTATATTCTTTCGAAACAACCATACAAAGTTCGTCTCCCAAAGCTAAACACAAAATTAAGTGTTTTTCATACTTAAAGAAACTTTTTCAAGAATTTTTGGTGAAAATTTTATTATTTTTGACTGGCTGGATAAAAGTTAATGAATTATTGATTTTACTCGATTTTTCGTTATCTGCTAATTTTATTAAGCGACATTCTATCACCAAGGATGACAAAATTTTAAATACGCAACCCATTGAAGTTTCATTGCATGATATTTATAACATAAATACGGATAAACTGAGTTTTTCTATTAAACAAATAAGAATAAAAATTCACGAGTCGATCAGCACAATCGATCAGATTAACTGCAAAGTGATTTCCACTGATAATAAAACTTGTGTTTTAGGTTGTATCATAGACAATACAAGTTTTAATATTTCGTATAATTCACTAGAGTACCTTTGCTTATTACTTGGATCATGGAACTTTGAGAAAAATTCACGTAAGAAAATTACTAATCAGAACTTAAATGAATCAGGTGATTTCAACGATACTTTGCTTTTTGACGAAAATAATTATCTAGATAAACCTCAGGATAATGAGAACTCACTTACTGCACTAGTTCAGGCAATTATCAAAGCGGTCAATTCATTAAATAACAAGAAAAACACCTCTTTTTCCAAGATAAAATGCATATTTAAATTGATGAAATTGAACAAAATCCATTTAGAATGCAATAATGGCGAAGGTTATAAAACTAATATTCCAATCAGAACGACTTTGACCGCTGGTTTTCATCTTAAACGTTTTATAATTGATATCGAAAAAGATAATACTTGCCAGGACTGTAACGTATGGACCATAGGTCAGAATATTTTTTTAACTAACGTGCTGATGACAAACTTGGTTGTTTTAATTGACCATGACGATAATAAATTTCCGTATCAATACTTGTCATTGAAAGAATGTGAAATAAAACTGCAACTAGCTAAACGTAATATTTATGTCACAGTGAGAAACACAAAAAATATTACTGTTCTGGTAGATCCAAACTCTGACTGTGATTTACTAACGTGGTCAGTTATAATGCAACAAGTTTATAAATTTTATAAATATTACTTGAACAGTAGCATATCTCATTATGAAAAATCCATCAACGACGCAGCTTTGTATACTTACGAGAAATTGCGAAAAAAATCTGATGAAATCCATAAAAACCCTGCTACCAAGTACCCTTGTATATATGAAGAGTTATTGCACACCCATGAATGTTGGTCAAGTTACTTAGCAAGCAACCGATTCGTTTTTGACGCTGAACTTTGCCATGTAGATTTACTACTTAAAACAGATTTTCCAAATATTAAGCTCGACACTAGCAAAAAAGGTTTTAGTTTTACAGCGATTTATGATCTGATAAATTTTTGCATCTCAGCAAATAAATTAATTCCCGAAGCCTTAATAAATGACAAGTACGTGCATATTCATATGGATAAGACGCTACTTCATTATAGTTCTTCCATTAAAAAATACATCCTTATTGTTAATGAAGCGATATTCCTTCACACAGTTAACTCGATTTATCAAGCACAAGCTTACTATCGCAATAAAAATTATAATTTTAGCACTCAAAACTCAAATTTGTTAAATAGTGATTACAAACATGATCCAATACTTGAAAACGATAAATCAAAGTGTAAAGTAAACTGGGGAGAACTCAATATTAGCGACATGAAAGAACTAAATTATACACTAGTGAATTTTAATGAAATCTGCATGAGTTATTCTACCTACTCAGATTTAACAGAAATAGTCATAGAAAATATTATACTACAAGACATGAACTATAAAGAGTTAAACATATTTCAAAATCCGTTCAATGGCATAACATCTGACGGAGCAACCTCCTATAATATTTTTTATTACCTTCTATCGAGAAGTTATTATTTTAAATACTTACTTAGTCAGCAAAGTTCTGCAAAAACAATTATTACTAACATTTCTCCTAACTTTTTATTTCACGTCAACTATATGCAGCTTGCTCTTGATAAAGATTCGTTCAACGTATTGAATCTACGTATTTTTAAGGATATCTATTACAATTCAGTCCTAACGTACTTAGAATCTGCTTATTTAGTAGATGCAAATATGAATATGTTGGCTTTGAAAATGCAAAATCTAAATCTTCTTTCATACTCAGCTTTTGTTAACGACAAACCCGAAATGAAATATTCTTCTGATGAGTTCCAACGACTTAAAACTCAGGATATAAAATTTTTGACGAATGCTAACCATTTGAATTTGTTACAAAATATAAAATATAGCATCAACACACCAAAATCCTGGATCAAAGAAACTCAGTACCGACGAACTATTTTTAATGTTGATTTAATTGAAGTATCTTTGGTATCAGTAACAAAAAATTTGAATAAATCATTTGCTACATTAACAACTACGACTGAGTTTATTTACAGCATAATCATGATACCGGAAAAATATATTACTTATTCCACTTTACTTAAACAAAAATTTAAATTGACAACGTATGTATTTTCTCAACTGGCAATTCGAATTAAAAACTTTAACACTTGTTTCGAATCTCAGCAGAAAAAGTATTTAGAACGTTTATACCAGCAAAGTCCTCGAAGTGTTTCGCCAGAATCTATGTTTTTTAAAAGTATGCTCGACACGAACAATTCTTTTTCGAATTACATCTATATTGATGATTATGAAACAAATGATTCATCTGAAGAGTCAAAAAATCTCGCAGAAAACAAACAACTTCAAAATGAAAATTTGTCGGTTTATATTTGCGATGATAACGCTACCGATAAGGTGTACAATCATGAAACAATATATTCTAGCATTAGGACCATATTAAATATTACGCCGTTATATTCTAAAACGACAAATCAATACTTACAACACCGGTCGCAGGAGGGAAAAGCAAATAGTAAAATAAACGAACTGATATCAAAGACGCTAAATGAGATAATTTTGATTGAAAATACTTTTAAAGATTATTTAATCGATTCGCTCAATAAATCCTTTGATAGAATTTTGAAAAAAATTACTGCAGATCAAAACATATCCTGGATAGATGCTTTGTACGTTAAAAAAATAACTTTTAAGAAATACTTTTTATTGAAAAACGAATTTATCGTCAAGGAATATTTCAACTTTAAAAGCAGTAGCGATAAGCCACATGATAACAAGTCAAGTTTACCCTTGATCTACGACAACTTTTGCATATCTGCAATTAAATTGACGTGTAACGTTGATCCAGATCCGGAGGCTGTTAATTTTGAAACTATCGAAAAGATAATTGTAAAACTAGCAAATCTAGAATCTTCATACAAACCTAATTTATTTCATTTTGCTTTAAGTCAATTAACCTTGCAATACCATAGAAACCGAGAATTATCAGCAAAAATAAAGCAATTTAAATTAAACATCACGAAATTGCCGAATTTGTTATTGATAACTGATTATCTGCATTCTGCAACCGTGATTGCTAATCACTTAAAAGATTTTAATCAGAAATTCAATATTTCACAAATGCCAGCTAATAGGTCAGGTCTAGTTAACGCTGAAATCAATGCAGTTTTCACTATTAACGTTGCCAATATTCAATTGTCTAACTTTTCTTTAGAACTAAAAGAAAACATTATTTTCAATTTCAAGAAAGATAAAAATAAATTTAATTATTACGCTTTAAAAACAAGCAAGGCCTCGACTTTATTTTTGAAAATTGATTTTTACTCGTTAGTGCAATTTTTCGGAATAGTAAATTTGGAATATAAATCTGGCGACGTTTTAAATTTAAATACCCACCCCACAAGTAAAATTTTAATTGACTCGACGCCAATTATAATTCATAGACTTTTACTGTTTATAGTAAACTACGTGAAAGAATTTTCAAGCAAAATTAATCAATATAGACAACTTGGAGGAATTTTAAACATATTTGCAAACGAAAAACAAAAACAGAGTTTTAGTGAGTGTATTTATAAAGAAGCAAAATCACAAGAATGCTTGGTAGATGGAAGTGACAATATGATTGTTTTGGACATGTTGATTCCAAAAGTAAATCAAGATTCAGACGAAATTGGTATGCCATCTGATAATTACTCTAAGATAAGTTCTGATCACGATAATAATAATAATTTAAACATGTTAAACAAGAATACTTTTAACCTGGTTTTACACGTTAATTCCATTAACGTTAAATTCTTCAACGGCATTTATCTAAACATTTCTTCTTTATGTTTCAATAAAGCTAAATTTAACGTTAAAGATTTCAAACTTTGTTGCTTCAATGAAGAAAACGTACAAATATGTCTATTTTGTCACTTCAAGAATGTTAAATACAATTTTATTACTGATCATGAGGCAATCAATAACCCAGAAATTATAATAGAATATGTATTTATGTCAGTAATTTTGGATGAAGTATTTGAGCTAGTTTATAACTTATTATTAAGTTATTATTTCTTGAATAATGTGTTTTCGTTCAGCGACTTATTTAATAATTTGCAACCCATTACAAAATTATCAGATCAAACAACAAAATCAGCGCTCACAACCTACTTCAATAGTATAACAATAATGTACGTAACTATTAATTTAATAAATAAAGGAAGTAGGTTGTATGAATTACTGGAAAAATCCATCTATAACTGTAGTCCATTTGATGAGTCAT